ACACACACACACACACACACACACACACCTTTCTCCCTTAAATAAACAGGACCTGTTGTGTGGTAAGACTTGAGATAAACAAGAGGGGTACAAGGGAAGGAAAAGACAGGGTGATGGTAACCAGTTGTTTAGACTGCCTCAAGTTGAGATTTCAGCTCTTTGTTGTTTTCTTTATGTAGACCTTTTCAACCAGCTCTATTTGAATTATACTTTGTGAGTGCAACACCTTGCTGACATCAGGAATTCAAAATTGTTGCCCAGTATAAATGAGAAATTTGATTAGAATAGTTTCTTTGGTTTGATTAACTGATGTCTATGTTGAATTTGATACATTTAATTTTTAAATTGGTATGACTTGGCTGCCTGTTTTTTTAAAATTATCTTAATTACAAAATTCACAAAAGGCATACATTTTTCTCTATTTATATAGCACCTAGGAGTTAAACCTGAGATTCCAAAGTAAAAAATGTTGATGAATTATATTATGCCATTAATAAATGCTAGCAAGCAGGAAATTATTTAGGATAAGCTTTACTATTGTGTTTTGCTCCATAAAGATTGTGCTGTAAGGGATTTAGATCCTCAAAATGACCTGCACACAGATTGTTCTTAGGTTGCCTAGAGTTCATTGCAGTTCTGGAGATGATAATGTACTGACTAATCCACTCATCTAACTAATTACATAAGTCTTCTTTAGCATAGATGGAAGCATTATAGTACAAAGCATTTAATCATTATGAAAGATTAATTGGAGGATTAGCACATCTGCTGCACAGGAGTGTTTATTTTGCTGAGACTGATAATGAATGCATGTACTGTTTAAAATTAACTTCTAAAATAAATCAGCCAAATTCCACCCTTCGTTACATTTGAAAGCCCTAGTGGCTTCAGTAAAAGTTAGAACCTTTGCTAGGGTATAACAGAGGGCAGAGTTTGGTTCACAGACATCTGTTGTTTTGTATGAATTTAGTATTTCTCTTTACTGCAGTATAATTATATTTTGAATCTTGCATACTTGACTTTGCTTGGCTCATTCCTGTCATGTTTTCTGCTTACATTGCACCCTTCATTCTTGCATCCAATTTTACAAAATTGTAAGTGAAAAAATAGAGCAAGAACTTTTCCTATAATCAGTTATTAACTTGTGCAACCTCACTGGCCTTTTATCACTCATTACTACAGAGTTGATTGTTATCCATGTTAAACCAAAGCTAGATAAAAGACACGGGAAGGGTGGCACCTTAGTGCGTGTCCAGACAAGCATGCACTTGTGGCATACAGCACCACAGTCCTATTTGTAGCACCATAAATCACATGTGCCACACATGCAAGCATTCACCATGCTGCTAATTTGCAGTGTGTCTAAAAACCCACACCTGAAAAAAGGGGGGTGGGCACATGTGGGGTACTGTGCGCTGCCTGAAAACAGAGCCTGGCAGCCAGAGACACACTCCAGCTGCCAGCCATACTCTGTGTGCTGGATTGCCGCCACTGGAGCCCATGTCCTGGCCCCAGCCTCCCATACCCCACCAGAGCAAATTGCTGTGTGCCAGAGAGTGCATGCAAGAGCATTTCCAGAGGACAAGTAGCAGCAGCACATGTATGTGCCACTGCTATTTGTCCCCAAGGAAACACACATGCACATTCATCTAGACATGTCCTTATAGACTAACTTCTATCAAAATGGAAAGTCTAATAAATAAAGTTAAGAAGCAGTCAAACTCTGGCGATTCTTGGTTAAAATGAAGAACAGGCTGTAGGTGAGATCACCTATTTCAAGGGTTAGCACTGCATGCCTTCAAAGGCCAATACCAATTTCTTCTATTGTATTAAAAAAAAACCAGAGGGTAGCCTTTGCTTTTCTAGCAAAGGGTGGTCCTCAGCATGTTTGCAACCAATTACTTACTTTGTTTGTAAAGATGTAAACTATCTGAAATAGAAAAATAATGTTATAATAATATTAATAATCTGATGTCTTCCAACACATCCTTAGTCCATGGTTCTCAGAACAATACAGGATCATAAGAAAACAGTGATGGAAGGGACTTCACAGGGTCATCTAGTGCAGCCCCTACTCAAGGGAGGATCATCCCTGACTAAACCACCCTACCCCACATCTATCTAACCTGTTCTTGAAAACTTCCAAGAGCAGTTTGTACAATTGTATTGTACAATTTCTTTAAGTAACTTGCTTCAGTGCTTCACCACCTCTCATAGTCAGGAAGTTTTTCCTAATCTCCAACATAAATTTCCCATGCTGAAGCTTGAGATTATTGATCTTAGTTCTGCCCTCTACAACCCCAGAGAAAAGCCCATCTCCATAGAGATATACAATGAGCCCATCAGGTATTTGAAGACTGTTATCAAATCCCCACCTCAGTCTTTTCTTCTCTAAGATAAATCACTCTAGTTCTTTCAGCCTTTCCTCATAAGTCTTGCTTCCCAGCTCCCTAATCCTTTTTGTTGCCTGAGCTGAACTCCTTCCAAACTGTATACATCTTCAAGCATGGAGCCCAGAACTGGACAAAGGATTCCAGGTGAGGTCTCATCTATTGTGAATAGAGCAGAAGAATAATTTCCCATGATGTATAAGTAACACTCCTTTTAATACATCCCAGTACGTTGCTGGCTTTTTGGATTTTTGCAGGGTTTTTTTGTACAATAAGAACACGCTGTTGGCTCATATTCACCTTAAGGTCTACTGTAACCCCTTGGTCCTTCTCTGCAGTACTGTAGCCTAGTCACTTATTCCCCAGTCTGTATTTGTACATGCAATTATTCAGGCCCAAGTGCAGGACTTTGCACTTGTCTTTGTTGAAGCTCACCTGATAAACTTCAGATCATTCTCCAGTTTATTCTGGTCATTCTGAATCATAACCATACTCTCTGGAGTACCTGCAACTCCAATCTACTTGCTGTTATCTGCATATTTGCTAAGCATGCACTCGATCCCATCACCCAAATCATTAATGAGTATATTAAACAGTACTGGACCCAGGACAGATCTTTGAGGAACTCCACTTGATATCTCCTCCTAACCAGACGTTGGGCCCCCCAATTAGATGTTGAGATATACTCTAAGAAGCTGCAATACGGACAAAAAGACAAGCTGAGAACAGCATTTTATCCAAATCTACACAACATTTTGGTTTCAGCTGCTCCTTTGTAACTGAAGTAACAATGCTCTGAAATCAATTGCCACTGACTTTTGTTCTTTTTTCATTATGAGGTAAAAGTCTTCAAGGGATATAAATCTCTTATCTATCTGGACATGGTATTAGCTCAGTAGCATGGCTTATGGAACAGAATGGACCAATTGCAGCTGCATTATGTTGGCCACTGGTAGGACAAAGCCCTGCTGTGCACATCAAATCCATTTAATATTAATCCATTTAATATTTCCTAGAATTAATTATATTAGTTAACCTATTTCATCTATAAATCTCAAAGCAGTTCACAAAATTGAGTACAAATATTATCTCCATCTTACAGAGGGAATAACTGAGGTCAAGGGACTTACCTGAGATAACTGAGCTGGTGACAAGGCTGAGACTAAAATTTAGGGTGGTGATTTAGGGTAGAGAATCAGTGGCGATTTTGTCAATGATTTCAATAGTAGTACGATTTAATTCTAGGTTTCCTAACACTTTTCACTGAAGCATTCACAGTACATTGTGAACACTATTTTATACTTTTAAATACCAGTTCAGCCATTTTGTAGATTTTTCTTTGAAGTCTTCCAAAAAGTTCATTACAATACATATTGTAGTTTTCAAGGTTTTATGGACAAAAATATAGTGTTTTTTAAAAACATTACTCATATTTCATTGCAAATATAAAGGGCACTTTATCTCTGTAGCATGTGCCATGAAACAGAGAAACAGAAAACATTGAATAAGTAATTTTTGTAATGATTTTAAGCCAAAATGTCAAAGAATTATGAAATGTTTCCATTTTGTTTAAATTACTTTTCACAGCATACCACAAAAGTAGATAGAGTCACTGCATGAGAAGTTTTGGATAGCCAAAGTAACCACTGTAGATTAATTTTAATGTACCTTTACAAAGCCTAAGCACTTGGGCTCAATACTTGAAGAATAAAGACAGTACAAATCACTGTCAGTGAATATAGCAGCCCTCCTTCATGCTCAGTGCTGGAATACCAACTTCAGACCTACTGCAATGGGGGTGGAATAGAAGTCATTTATAGAGTTGTACATGCATGACAGCTCTGAGGGATTTGCCCTGGTGGTCTCTTCACTTGCGTCTTCAGCTTGGCTAGTCTATACTCTCTTCCCCAGCATGAAGCTGACTGGCCATTCTGACCATACATTTTTCATAGGAATGGGAGATTCATGCATGAAAGGTCTTCCATTTCCTATATGCACCTAGACAATCTTATTAAATAGTAATAACTGAGGGCCAAATTCTGTGGTCAGAATAAATATTATTAGAAAATGGAGTACATTTACTAAGTGGAGGTAAAAGGATGAAATATTTTTCAGCGCAGTTTGGCTAAAAATTTTAAGGTGAGGCCAGAGCGTAAAAGCCACTGAAAAAAGGGTGGTGTCATGTTATATGGAAATAGTCCACAACCCTGTACCTTTTTACCTTCCCCAGGCACTCTCTAGCATTTTAAATATTCTATTGAAGGGTAAGTTTTCTTAAGCAGTGCTAGAATTCACATAAACTATGAAATTATATTGTGCATTAAAGTTAAAACAGTTTTGTGCTACATCAAGTTTTATGATTGGATTTTGTAAGCAAAGGATTTTGAGCAACAGTCTTTCCCTTATACAGTTTACATCATTTGTTTCTTCCTGTTTATGTACCCTGAAAAACTGAAAGAAAATTATAGGGATGCAATATTATACGAGTCCAATTACATCCCCATGAAGAATATGATTCATTCTTTTAAACTTCTTTTGCATACATAACCTGGAAAGAAAAGGAATGATACAGAAATGTAAACTGGGTATTAATATAGCCAATGACACACACACATCTATTTGGTTTTATTTCAGTTAAAAAAAACAAACCCAAAAAATAAAAACAAAAAACAAACAAGAAAAACCCCCCAGATTTATTAGTGCCAGTGAATGTTCATAGTAAGGTAACAGATACTAAGCTATTTTGAGTAGCAACCTACATCAAAGGATATCAAAATAAAATTTCATTTTAACTTGGTTCTTGCTGACTAGAAGTCCTCATTGTCTGCATATGAGACTGTTAAAGGAAAGTTGCTACAGTCGAACACGGTTCTGATAGAACTTGGCACATAAAGAAACAATTCAACATTTCATCCATACAGCACTTCCACCCTTCTAGAGCACTCATTCAAACATACTTACATAATGCATATACATCATGACTAAAACCATGTCTGGCTTAAAGCACATAAAATAGTTCATTCTAAAAGTAGCATATTTCTACATCAAAGCAGGTCAATGTATTTACAGCAGATGCTCTAACTCTGCAGATGGGTTTTGCTTGAAGTTCTCTTTCTTAGCATACATTAAAATGTTCAATTTGTCAAATTATTTATCAAATTAAAGATGTATCTACAGGAAGATCTGTTTGATCATGTGCAAGAATTCTAAGGCAATAGTAGTAGTTGTTCCACAGGACTAGTGCTGCCATTGCAATGATCTTTTCATAACGCTTAATAAGTCTTTATTCTTCAGATGCAGCCAGGCATAGTGAGACATTCATGATCCTTAAGTTGTTGGCTCAAAGGTCTAAACTTCTTGGTTTTGTTTTTTTGTTTTTAATGTTCATGGAATAGCACCATAGAAATTATCTTTCAACGACACATCCTGGGTTTTTGTTTTGTTTTTATGGGGTTTTTTGCCATCACAGAAACTCTTATTCCCAGAAAACAAATGCTCCTATTCTCTCAACTGTTTAGGAAGCCTTTCATTTCTTATCAGCTGAAACAGAGGTATAGCTCCTTCATAAACTGGCCCAAAGAAATATAGGTTAGCAGCAGTTTCAATTTTACAACTGAAAATAAAATCAGTAAGTGGAGTTTCAGATGACTCCAATCACAATTATTTCTGTTTCCCAATGGACAAGTATTTTGTTATATAACAGGCTGATAAAATATGAACTCAGTCTCTTTTTAGGTTCAGTGCAAGATAAGAGCACATCATCAGATATACCATACTTAATTAATAAACCCAATACTTTCATCCCTTTATGCTATCCAAATTCCAAGTATAATATGATGACGTATACAAACTTTCAGACATTTAAAGGTGTTAACACAAAAATGTTCTAAAGATCAATTATGTTTCAGAGATACGAGTTTTCCAGTTTCAACAGACTGATAGGACAAATGAATTCCTAAAATTTACAGACCAACTTCAGAAGAGCCTCCCATTTCATAGCTTCGTTTTTTTTGTCTTTGCATGCACTGTATCTTAGATACAAAGCCACAGCAATTAGTGTAAGATATAAAGACAGCATTTTGAGTATGTGACCTGAAGGAGCTTCTTTGTCTTCTAGACATCAGACAATTGTCAGAATGAAGAGCAGTCTGCAGGGTCACTTCCCCTGAATTTGGCTGATTGACTCTACAGGTATCTATGACAAATGTCAAACTATGAACAAAAGCTTTTATAGTCTCCCTGCAAGGATGCAGTGCCCTTTCATCAGCTTTGTAGAGACAGTCAAGGATGGATTCCACACATTGTCATCATGTCCATTCCACTGGGATAGCTGAACATTTCTTTGTGAACTGAGATGTTTCTGGTCTCATAAGATTTCCTTTCAACTGAACTCACGTAATATAAAATGTTTGTACTGATAAATTCCATCAAAAACAAACTAAACAAACATACACGTTTTCCTTTTTTCTATTATGTGTTCTCTCTTCCTGTCTTATTTTCTGGAAATTAGGATCCTGCATTATTTTTTGATGTGAATGCTATCTTGGTATTTTATACTTTTGTATCGTATATGAAATCCTTTCTTGTTGATTGTATCATCCGTATGAAAGTGGAGTAAAACAGCATCCCCGGCTGAATAAATTTCTTCTGGGGGCTAAAATAAACAAGCAAATAAAATGTTTTTGTTTTTTTTCTTCCCCACACCAAGGTCTACTTGTTCTTGTTCAACCAAGACTTTTTCTTATGGGTATTTTATTTCTCATTAAACAATATAGCTTAAATGTCAATGTATCTAGAAATATCATCCATAGCTGACAGACAGTTTACTCCAACAGTTCAAGGTCTTGCTCTTACAATGCAAAAGTTAGACATAAAACACTCATAAAAACATAAAACATTTTTAGAGGAATAATATAATATAATCACATAGGACCGGCTATATTGGAATGGTTCCATAGTATGTATTATCCACCATCACATCTTTGGCCAGAAAAAGTTATTTCAGAAGAAGGTGGAGGAAACCCAACAGTAAGTACATGTGAGAAAATCTCCTCCCACATATAAAATGCCTAAAGAGGTCAGCCACATATTTTATAAACACATGCACAGAATATGGGGAGAAAGTAAGGAAAAGTGTCATAGGTCTTAATGACAGGAACTGTATGGTCTCCTGTTAGGAGTACAGGAAAATAGAGAATCAAGCAACAGTGAAGTTGGGAACCACAGAGAAGACAAAAGATGTGTATACCTCTGAAGCAGCAAGTCCCAGCCAAGCACCCCCAAGTACACCCCATCCATCTACTCCTGACACACATGATCCAGACTAATGTCCATTTCTATAGCTGTTTTTGAAACCTTCCTCTTTTTAGGGGAGCATCTGAACTTCTGGGAGCCAGCCAATGCTGAAGCATCTTCACTGACATATTTTTGGATTTGGTGCATAAACATGGAAACCAGGGCACATTGCTACCAAGGGGCAGACCAACCCCAAAATGCCTCTGAAATCTGCAAAAATGGTTTAAAATTAGGCTACTGAGTCTGCCTTTTTAAAATAAAATACCTTACTCTTCAGTAAAGAAAACTCATGGTAAGATAAATTTAAGACCAGAAAAAATGTCATTTTAAACTGTTCTAAAAATGTTTTAAATCATTTTCTTAAACCAATTTTAATTATTCCTGTGATGACAGGTCAATTCAGTGGCTAGTGATCTCTCAAATGCTTCCACTGGCCCTTAAGATTTCTATGATAAAATTCTCAAATGGGAAAGAATGTATCTTCTTATAGCAGGTAATAGCAAGAATGGGTGAACTGACAGGCAAAACCAAGAAGGATGTTAGCCAGATGCTAAAACAGGCCATAATTATGATGTACCTGAGTTTACTTGTAAAGTTTACTTCTGTTTAGTGTAAGCGAATTAGGCCCAGAGGTATCACATAGTTGTGCCGCTGCTACTTGTCCCAGGGAACATGTATGCACGCAAGCTCTGGTTAATGGCGAGTTGCCCCAGTCAGGGTAGGGGAGGCTAGGGCCACCACCTGGGTTGGCCCCACCACCCTTACCTGGGGTCCTGGGGGTCTCCCAGGCATAAGAGGTGCATAGTGGGGGCACATGCCCACCTGAGACTGGCCACCAAAGCCACCACTGGCTGACATGGGCAGCAGCATCTGTGGGAGGTCCCCACCACCAACACCACTGCCGGTGGCAGATGTGGGCAGCCTCCGCTCACTGCTCGCTGCTGCCAATACTGAAGCTGGTGGCTGCGGGTGGTCTCTGCTCACTGACATCAGTGGCTGTGGGTGGTCCCCACTTGCTGCCATCGTGCCCCCCCAGTCTCAGGAGGCACCAGTTGTTCATGCTCCCAAGGGTCCAGTGGTAGCGATCTGGGTGCACAGGGCCTGGAGTGTGGCTCCAGCCAGCCAGATTCCAGTTTTGTGCAGTTCATATTGACACCATGTGCGCCACTGTTTTTTTCAGGCGTGGGTTGTTTTGACACTGGGATCTCCTGGTGTCAAAAAAAGCCTGCTCTGTTGCAAATCAGCATTGCAGCAAACACATGCATGTGCAGTGTATTCAGTTTGCAGCTCCGCAGATGGGTCTGCAGCACTGCAAACCACATGTACACATTTGTCTGGATGCGCCCTGTGTTACAGTCCCATACCTTTCAGATCTCTCCCAGTTGTGTTGCTATTTAGTGTTCTTGAGACTGAAAGTTATTGTGGCGTCAACATCAGTTTACTATTTGCCCTTCCCTACTGTAGTGCAGGTAATTTTTCTGTGGTGGTTTTGTATAGAGTCATACACACACACACACACACACACACACACACACACACTTACTTGATATCAAGTGTAAAGAGCCATAGTTTAGGCTGAAGCGTTGGATGTATTGTCAAGACCCGCTAGATTTTATGAATCTGAATAAGATGCATACATTTAATTCTAATAGCTTTTGATGATTATTTGCCTATTTAGTGTGTTTTTATAATAAGAAATACACATTTCAATAAAAGTATGCTTGTTTCAAGCTTATTTCAGATTTAAATTGAATAATGCCTAAGCATCTAACATATTAGCAAACTTTTTAGTTTCATTTTAATTGGAGAACTAGAAGCGTATGTTGTGTTATATGTAAGGACACACTACATCATCTGCACCCCTCTTTTCAAAATCCTAGATCTGCCCATGCCTCAGAAATTACTACATCTGGTCAGAGGATAAATCATAGAATTCATAGAGAAGTGGGTTGGAAGGGACCTCCATAGGTCATCTAGTCCAACACCCCCTGCCTGGGGCTGGATGATCCCTGTCCAATCCATCCTATACACATATAGTAAAAGTACCCTCAAACCCTGACACAACATAAGACGTAACATCCTAACCTGCCACAGGTAAAGCAGGGGGACCACAGCAGCCAACATTCTGCTTCTGTAAATGGTTGTTAAAGAGATCCCAGGTAGAAGGCCAGGCCCCCTGCTACAGAGGCAGGCAAAAACTCATGATACCCACCTCACCAATCTGAAAAGTACCATTGACCAGGAAGGTAGTATAAGAATGGTTCAGAAATTATGTGGGAGGCAAGGATTTTTTAGAGTGGCATCTTTTACTAGGCCAACTGTATACTTGATATAGAGTTAGGCAGGCTTCCCACTAAACAACAGACACCAAACCAAACGCAACCTTGCTGTAACTACAAGTGCAAAACCTGTCAACATACTTCCACAGCCACCACATGCTCTCTCCCCCCAAAAACCTGTTGGAATCCACTGATCATACATGTCTATCACAGAATCTCATCCACATTCCTACATGTCCTATACATGTCTCATCAATGCACCAAATGCCCTCATGGAAACTATCCACCAGAATAAACTAACACAGAAAAAAAATGTAAAGGACAGATGCAAATAGCCACTGATAGCAGATGCTTTTCATAGAATAACCACTCCTTTCTGACCTCACAATCCTTATATTCAAGGCAAATCTACAAAACACCTACAGAAGATGGGCTCGGAAACAAATTCATAACTTTGCTGAACACTGAAACACGTGGACTAAACACTGACAATGGCTTTATGGCTCACTGTAATCTGCCTACTATATTTACTAATCTCCCTGCATTTCACAGGTAATAAAGACCCTTTTTGCCTTTTAAATGGTCTTGCTCTTCTACTGATTAGATTACCTACTCTGCTGTACTTCTCTTCTTTTGAAACACTCCTGATAATATCTTTGCCCCTACTTTACAGACTTTGTCTATTCCTTTAAGCAGACTGTTTTCATTTGCACATAGAGTTGTACACATTATTATTTTATCTGATATTTAGCTAAAGCTGTGTCTGCTTCTATCCTAGACATGAAAAAAGTCAATTTTATGCTTGAAAGCTTGTCTAACATCTCTCCTTACTACACAGTTGGTTCAGTAAAAGATACGACTAAAAAAACCTTTCACAAAGGCCAAAGAATATTCATTGGTTGAAAATATTTTAATGGAAAAATTCTTAGTCACAGAAATATCTCTTTCCCTGATTTTGTTAAATGCTTTTACATTTTTATAAACCTAAATTTTGGGCAAATTATTGGACAGTGTAACTATGATGATTTTTTTTTTAGTTTTGTATTTATTTATTTATTACAGGGTAAAGAGAAGTTTCAGTAATTGACTACTTACCCCAGATCCACAAAATCGACCGAGTCTCATAGCTGTTGTATCATGGCCATCAAAGAGTTCAACATAGTCATAACCACAGTCTGCCTCTTCTTCTACTTCAAAAGTCTGAAAAGTTAACTCTACTCGATAGCCACGTTCTGACACCAGCAGCCACTCACAATCCACTTGAACTGGATAATTATTATCACCAAACTGTGCATGAGAGTACAGATCTCTAGGCTTGGTTTCAGCTTTCAGTCGACCACCACACTCTGTAGGAACAACAAAAAAAAAAAAAGATAAATAAAAGACAAGCACAAGTAAACATTTCAGCACAATTCTTTTCTTTGGGCTACTCGCTGAATAAGGTACTACTTAATATGAATAATTGTGGCTTATAATTTTATGATTTTTAAATAGTATGATGGGACACAAAAATGTTGCCAATACAAGAGTCTCAAAAATGCTCCAGAATGCATACCTTTATTTCATGTAAATATTTTCTATAATTTATTTCCTAGTAACAGTTTTAACCAAAAAAGGGAAAGGACAGCAAACTTGTGAGGAATAATATAGTCAAAATGGTGTGATATCATGACATCGTAAGACACAGAATGCCTTGCCTATCAGTAATGGGATTTATTCAGCGAACAATGGGAAATGCCGCATTGATAATAACACAGATTGTAGGAATCTGTTTTGGCCCCCATACTTCAAGAAAGATGAGGATAGATTGGAAAGAGTTCAGCACAGATGAACAAAAATTAGGGCCTGGGCGGCAGGACTTATGAGGAAAGGTTGAAAGAACAAGGGCTATAGTCTGGAGAAGAGAAGACTGAGAGGGATTTGATAACAATCTTCATATAGCTGAAGGGCAATTATAAAGAGGAAGGAGATGAGCTATTCCTCTGTAGCGGTAGGGGACAGGATTACGAGCAATGGCCCCAAGCTTCAGTAAATCAGAAGGAACTTTCTGTCTAACGAGGGTGGTCAAGCATTGGAATGGGCTACCTATAGAAATTGTGGAATCTCCATCTTTGGGAATTTTAAGAGCAAATTGGACAGTCAGCAATGATCCTGCGTTGAGCAGGGAGCTAGACTAGATGACCTCGTGACATCCCTTCCAGGCTTACTTTCAACAATGCTCTAAGGACAGCTGAACCTGCTTTATCCTTTATTTCATTCCATTGTGTATTCCATTATTCTCACTATAAATCTCTATATGAGTTAATACAACTTTATTAAGAGGCATTCATTCATATTAGAGACTCAGTAACAAATTTGGTTTAAAAATTGGTTTAAATTGTATATATTTATTTTAATATTTTCCAAAACTCTATTTCAGAAATTATGAATTCCAAATCAAGGAAATGAACATTAAAACCAATGTATTGGACTATAACCAGGTTGCTTAACAGAAGCAGTAACTCCTGAAGATTTAAAAACCCCCAAAAGTCCAATTCACTACTCCCATTGCAAATAGTTTAGCTACTATTGGTGATCATTTCCATTATGTTTAGCTTTCTATAAGAACTTAAAACTTCTACTGCATAAATGCTCTACATTAGTCACTTAAAGACATTATTCAAGACCAGCTGACAACAGACGGAAAACTGTATTTAGAACTATGTTTAAGGGGTGTGGGTGGGTGCTTTTCTTCTTCTTTACAACTAAGGAAACCTCAGTGAAAACATCAGAGTTTATTTTAGAAGGTTGTTCTCTTCCTTGTTTCTCACCAAGAAATAGTCCTCTGCCTATGACACTTTTTCCACAGCAAGTGCAGATGGAACTAGCATCTGATATCTGTACACTCATAAGTTTATGTTAGGAATCAGTGAGGCTGTGTTATGTTTTTATATTGAGCTAAGCCAAATCCAATGATCCAAACACCTCTGATTTATGTAAAAGAGAGGATCTGTATCTGAGCTTTGTGGATGAGGCCCAACTCGCCAATTGTGATGTCATATGCTCAGCAGTCTGAATTCAGGTTGGAATTAATAACAGGAACTGCTGAATGCTTAAAATGGTGCCGTGCAGGATTCATAGATGTAAACCTAATAATACAGAAATGAGAAGGATCAAAGCAGTGGTATCACTAGGGAAGGTGACAGGGCAATTGCCTTCCGTGCAGACTTGGAAGATAGTGGGGGTGAAAAAAACCCCCACCAACTGCTAGCAGATGTGTAATTGTGCTGCTGGTATGGTAGCAAGCAGAAGTGCTGCCCACAGGCATCTGGCCATGTCAATATGCTCCTTTATTTCTAACTGGCTGCATGACTTGGAGGCTTGATTTCTAATTTTGGATAAGATTTTGAAATCTTCTTAAAAAGCATGCATGGCTGACAAACTTGATATTCCCCCATAGCCCTCCGTAGCCACTCATTAGGCTCAATATGTTTGTATCTCTCTGTGCATTTTTTTCACTTTACAAATGGGTACAATCAACACCATAACATATGCAATCCATCATATACATTTATTTTGTTGCTGTTATTCTCATATACTAGCTTCTTCATTTTTTGTGAATTCAGTTATATATTTTCTTCTGACTGAAATATTCTCAGTTTTAAAGAGTCACATTCAGGACATAACACAGCTGTAAAAAGGAAAACTTTTAAGAACTTGCCTTGAGCATGCCTTGTTTGCTCCATACACACTATTATGTTTATGAGTTTAAAAGAGTGGTCCATCCATATTAACAGCTGCAGAAATTTTAAAGTTTACATATCAGGAAGATATTTTCACACTTGAAAAAGAGAACTGAAAACTGCTAAGCTATCTTGAGGAGTAGGCAGGGCGTTTTTATTGGCAGTCATCCCAGTCTCAGTCAAGATACTATATAGACACAATCAAAGTTTTTGTGAAAGTCGATAGAATTTAAGATCCTAAGAGTCCGAAGCTATAACTATAAGGCAAACTTACTATCCGCCCAAAACTAATTAACCTGTCCCAAGCATGGTGGGGATGCAATTCCAATTATGACACAGTGTGCCCAGAACAGCACAGCCCCCTTACAGGCAGCTCCAGTCAAACACAGTAAAAGTTTATCCTGAGACATGGCCAATATCACTTCTCAGGCTCCGTTAGAGGCTAAGACGTTTTGTATGGCTAAAAGGGGAGAAATACCTTAACTCCTTCAAGGGCTAACTCTTAACCTTCCATTTCTCATAGCTCTCTATCTAGTAATGGTCTTCTTTAACTGACCTGCTAGACAGAGATTACAGGTTAAGCCTATTGGTTTGAGTACACCCAAGAAGAGGGTGCCAGCTCTTCTCCTGACAGAAAGCAGTTCTGTACCCTGTGCAAAATCTCCCCAACTCTGGAGTAGAATGGGACCAGGTTTCTGAGTGTTGCTCTCAACACTGTGCTACTTGCAATGTTCCCAGATTGAACTGGGCACTGTGATTCTTTTTATGCTCCTCTCAGTAGCCCAGGAACCTGCAAAGGTGGTTAGGTTGTAAAATTCAAGTAGTCACAATGTTACAAGTGTCTAGTGCTGTTAATGATTCAATGCAAAGCACAGCATTGATAAGCCAGCATTGCACGTGGTTCAGACAAAGCGACCTCCCTAAAGAAAGTAGGGAATGGGCTTGGGCCCCAGAATATAAGGAGAAGATATCATTTAATCTCCTACCATTTTATCTCATCTGACAGAAGGTCAGTGGGATGCCTGCAACAGAATTAAGACCAAATTAAGAGTGGAGGGATTAGGAGATTGATAGCAAGTTTTCTCCTACGTGGCAGGAATTATGGAGACAGGAAAATCTGTATTGTGTGAGTTATTGCTGGATAGTTTCCAGGTATGTTCTTTAATGAAGCTGCAGGCTCAATAAACCACACTCCTAGTGTTTCTCTGCAATCCCTGTAGGAGTGAGGCTTTTCACTTGGCCCATCTGAAAACTTTAGTCAAGAGCTCATCCATATTTGGGTCAGACCTGCGTTAGCAAGATTGGTTTGAAATATGTTTCAAAATCTATCCATTTTAATGCAATTAAAGGCATCTGTCCTGCCATATGAAATAATTAAAATAATTTAATAATAGCATTTACTATTATGTTAAAAGTATATTTTACTTTTTGAGGGTTATGAGCATTTGATATATGGCAAAAGCTTGTTGGCATTATTCTCCTGATTATGGCGCACTAAAATAAATAAATAAAACATTATGCTTCATGCACAGAAATACATAATTTGAGACATTTTAGACTGACCCAGTGTTAAACTTTACTATAGTTTTATCTCTATAATCTAAATGTATTTAATTTAAATGAGAATTTCTGAGTTGGGATTCAAAGCCAAAAAGTGACACACTGCGAAATCATCTGAACCACAGAACCTGAGAGAGAGAGAGAGAGAGACACAGAGAGAGAGAAAGACAGAGACAGAGAGAAAAGGCAGGCCAGCAATGGAATAAAAATGTGATCATGATTTAACAGACAAGATGACCTCACTGTTGAATGCTTGAAAATAATATTTAAACAATTTTAAATGCAGGGGATTATGATGTAGACTATAAACATTAAATGCATTAATTTTAGGTGAAAGACTTTTTTTCATGTTAGCTGCAGACATGGATTTAAAGACTCACTAAATAAATTAAAAATTGTAATCCTTTGGAATAGTTTAAGAACTGGAAGATACTTAGCCAGAGAAATACTATTCATTCTTTATGTGACTTCCAAAGTTTGACAAATGAAATTATTACAAGTAAAAATAAAATTCCTACTTTTTTGGAAACACGGTGTTAGCTCATACAGCTCAGAAAATCTGGGGGGGATACAACGCACAGGGATGGAATTTTGGGCATAGCCTCTGGGGTTACAGCCCATCCTTAAATTGAATGCATGAAGCTAAATGATTTTGATGGTGCCAGGATGGAGGGGAATGGATATGTCAACTTTTCTCCCTGTGTCCTTGAATAGCTGTACAGGGTTAGATACATTCTAGTTTTTACTGCCACCTTGTACCCCTAAACTGAGTAATTATCATTGTTTATTTTTATTTGTGGAAATATATTTTTGAAAACTGCCAAATATCATCATTAATGCAGTGCAGATAAAACATTTATTTAGTGACTGTGCTTGTAGCTAGATTACAATATCCTTACTCTGTACAGTATCTTTAACACCAAACACTTCATAACAAGACTGACAAATAGCTTTACATTTTCTTTAAAAAATGTCATGGAAAAACATACATTGAATTATAGGATCAAAAGAACAGCTTTCTGTTCATCTTGCATTCAGAAAAAAAAGAAGCAAATTTTATTTTTCAATGTTTGTAGAAAAACAATGCACTTACACTACGGAAATTTTTAAAGCCAAAGTGTAAACCCCTATAAATATACATTTATAAGGGAAATTCCAGCTAACTGTTGGCTGTAACAATGAAAATGGTAATACTTAGGAGTACTGTGGGCACAGATTTTAACTTCTTCCATATACTATCTACTGCAGTTACGTAAGTGGAAGGCTGACAATAATAAAGTCAGAAATGTTCTAACAGCTATTTTTATCATCACTTTTGGTCTTTAATTGCTTAGTTATTTTAATTGGTACCTTTTATATCTAATTTTGTGAAAAGCATAATGGTATCAGATCATTGTGGTGAAGAAATCTGGAGCATAATACAGGTGTTTGCACACCAGGCCCTTTAACAGGATGGAAATGTAGACTAAATGACAGGGTGAAGAAACCTTTCATTTCCTAGGCTCAGACCGCAAAGGGTGAAAAATAGGCTGGGTTCTGATCCGTGAAGTCTCTGCCAAAAGAAAATTAATCTAGCAACATATTAAAGATTATGTACCAAAAACTAAAACAGAAAGATCTAGTTTGAATTTAAATATTTATGTACACTGAATTATTAGTTGTAGACATATTTACTTTGAGCACTTTAGGCTATGTGAACACAGACCAAAAAAATTACACATGCTGTAGCTCAAGATTAGGCACTTTTGTTTGTAAAACTTGTAAAACTTTACTATGGTAGAGATGATGATACTTACAGTGCCCCACACTGATATGGAAATTACAAAATAATGCATAAGAGAGAATATGCTGTACAAAGTGAGGACAGATATTATTACTACATTTAAAACTTAGCAAAGATACTATTTTGTTCTATTGTCTAATGTTGCTGAATGACTCCACTTCTCTTTACACATACCATGCCTTGGAAATTGAAGTTATTAAAAGTTGCCACTGGGGGTCACTGTAAGTCAAGCAAATTCAAGATTCATGTTTCTAAAATAAAGCATGTCTTAAGGAACCTCTTAATAAACTTTCAAAAATATTTTGAATGATAAATTATATAAACAAGGAGAGTAACTGCTACATCTGAAGATGATTTTTTTTCCCCCAGAAAGTTTATGGATTTTAGCAAGGCTCTCAATATTGTTTTGTTTGTGTTTACCTTTGCTTATCATCAGGGATCCTGGTTTTCACCGATTTAAAAAAAATCTCCAATTTTCAGTTAAAAAAAAGTAACCCCAAATCCATATTTTTCCGTGATTAAAATGAAACATCACACTCTCTCTCTCTCATATATATATATATATATATATATATGTA